CTCTAGTTCTTTTTAACAGAAAAAATAGCATGCATACCAGGATCTGAGCACTATGGCGCATTCTGGGGTAAAGTTACTCTGAGGCCATCTCAATGGATAAAACTAGAAAAGCCTTTCTTTTTCTCTTAAAGACATGAGTTCACATGAACTATTTTCAATAGTTTAAGGTGTTCTAACTTAAAGTTCTTTTGATCCCCTAATTTTATCTGCTCTTTATTTTGCATAATTAATAAAATAGCTGTTTGCTTGATTTGACAGTGTGATTGTTCTAAAACAATTGATATTAATATGAGCATTAGAGCTACTCAGTAGAGATCAAGGTTGTCTGCATAGTTTCTTTAGTTTTTAGTGTCCTGGGAAGGATATGGTAATTCATCATCTTGTTCAGTCCAGCTCTTCAAATATTCATCTGATGGAGAGTTTGGTTCCATTGGTTCACTTTGCTTTCAACTTGAGGCTACTGTTATTCTAAGAGGTGAGAGTTTTCTTAGAAGGTGGTAGAATTTAGCAAGCAGTCTCCAGCCACCTTTAGATACTGAATTACCGGAGGAGGGTCCATCTTGCCATTCCATTTTGAAATCAGTTCAGTCTACAACGTTCTGTAAAAGTTTCATCACTAGCGCCTCCATCTATTGTCACTTAAAACATAGTTAAAAGAGTCATATATGTATGATCTCTAGCCAGACTAACTGGTTCTGCCTATTATTAAATTTCTGATATTAGAAAGTATACATTTTACACAGTTGGTAAATACATTTTAACTATACTCAATCCCATCTTAAAACTTAGATCTTGGGCCGGCCTCGTGGCCAAGTGGTTAAGTTTGTGCGCTATGCTTCAGCAGTCCAGGGTTTCACCAGTTCAGATCCTGGGTGTGGACGTGGCACCGCTCTTCAGGCCATGCTGAGGTGGCATCCCACATAGCACAACCAGAAGGACCAACAGCTAGAATATACAATGTACGGGGGAGGGGGGGAGTGGTGTGTGGAGGGGGAGGGAGTGAGGGGGGAGGGGAAGGAGGGGGAGGCGGGGGAGGAGGAGAAGAGAAGACTGGCAACAGATGTTAGCTCAGGTACCAATCTTTAAAATAAAAACAAAACTTAGATCTTGTTTTAAAATATATGTAGCATTCTCTTAAAAATTTAACATAGTATGTTACATATTGTTATACCAAGACTTAGAGTAAATAAATTCAAACAATTCTCTCAGTTAACATTATCTTGACCTCCTACTAGTCAATGTTTATTTTTACTGCAGGGAGCTAGCTATATTTTGACATTCCATATAATGAAGAAATAATGACACATTACATATAGGCTCTGAAGGTTTTATGTGAAAGCATCTTTTAATTCTTGGGTCAAAATTCACATCTTGCCTTGACCATTATCCATATATTTTTTTTTTTTGAGGAAGATTAGCCCTGAGCTAACTACTGCCAATCCTCCTCTTTTTGCTGAGGAAGACTGGCCCTGAGCTAACATCTGTGTCCATTTTCCTCTACTTTATATATGGGACGCCTACCAGAGCATGGCCTGACAAGAGGTGCCATGTCCTCACCTGGGATCCGAACCAGGGAACCCCGGGCCGCTGAAGGGAAATGTGCACACTTAACTGCTGCGCCACCAGGCCGGCCTGTTATCTGTATTTTTAGTTATAGACAACTGGTGTAGAACTCAGAGTCTTTTTGATAAATATAAAACTTCCCAAAGCAATAATATTAGAAAAATAACCAAAGTTTATAAAAATAAAATGCAATTAAATTAAAAAAATTCTTTAATACAAAATTTACCCATCTGGAATAAATACTTTTAAAAATTGGGATTCCAAAATTAATCTTTGACCACGGGTAGCGGTGGTTCATTTGATCCCTACCTTAATAGGGCCTGTGCATTTGCTAATCAGCAAGATTTATAATGCCAACTTTTTTCCCTTTGAGGCCCTGACCATGGCCCAAACCTTTAATCTGTTCTTTCTCCCATAGCTTGCTTCTATCAGTCCAAAACTGCATTTTTCTTTTTGAGTTTAAACCAATAATAAAAAGGATTATTGGTTTAAAATGGCTTAATTCACTTAACTTTTAACTGCATACACAGATGATCACCCTGACACTTTTTGGCTAATAAACACACAGATCACAGAAAATTGCATATTCAAAGAGAAGCTCTTCACATTTTATATTTTTTACCAACAAAAGCCTCATAATTTCAGTCAAATATCTATTTAAATTATTTTCTTGGAGGGCACTTTTTCAAACAGATGGTCATTCTTGAGACCCTGGGGTCTCTGAACATCATTTGTTTTTAACACTTCAACACTGTTGTGGAGGGAAGAGCTTCTTTTATCTATAAAACAGAGAGTTTGTCCTTTAACTGCTAAATGTGAACAGTTTACAGTGACAGCGATTTCAATTTCAGCATCTACTCAATGCTTCTTACTAGACGGGGATTCTTTATTTCAAAAACAAACCATCCTCCCCAGCTCTGGCCACGTGACTGATTGGCGCCCGGAATGCTTTCCGAGTTCAGACAGGGCTAATGCAGTCTGAAGGCTCCCCCTGGGGAGGGGCAGTCATCCGTTTAATGGGGGGCGGACAGCTTCCTCTAGTGGAGTGACATTCTTTTGGTTAACACCCTGCCTCATCCCCAAACCATCATTTCCAGGCTATGCCTCTTAAGGGTAGGAGACTGGAGCCTATGGGTCTGGGAAGGCTTTTCCTGAAGACAGCCAGTCAGATTTTAATGGGGTACTGGGTTACTGAGGTGATCTTCAGTGGCTGGCTGGTAACCGCTCCATCCTTTCTGCATTGACGTTCTTATAATTAACAAAGTCCTGCTTTTAAATTCCTAGTCTGTGGTTTTATTCTCCACAACAATTTGGAAGAGTGTCGTTAAGACTCTGGAGCAGCGCAGACCCAGGAAATGACAGGTGGTCTTTAGCATGCTTCTCAAACTTAATGTGCTTGTGAATTAACTAGGGGTTGTGTTGAAGGGCAGATTCGGATTCAGTGGGTCTGGGTTGGGGCCTGGGATTTTCCATTTCTAGCAAGCTCCCAGGTGATGCCCATGCTGCTGGTCCAAGGACCAGACTTTGAGTCGCGAGGGACTATAGGCTGTGAAGCAGGTACACACACAGTGAGATCCCCTCATATCTTAGTTTTGCATCCTTCCCCGTTTCTTTTGCTCTGTGGGGATGATGAAGCTAAGTTCCATGCCTGAGCCTTCTTCATCATTTTAGGTAGGATCATAAACAGAGCCTGCTGTGTGACTGTTTGACTTCTCTTACTCCTCCCCTTCTATCTGCCTTCCTGTATTCCTTCCCCGTGTGAATGGTGTCAGTGCTCCTCAATGTAAGGGTCAGGAAGGGACCTCACCCCCTTCTCAATTCATGTTGACCCACTGTGATCCTCATTCCTTATAACCCAGAACTGGTAGACAGATTGACCCCTACATTTTCCAGTGATGTCCTCTGAGACCATGCCATCTTGGAGCACCTAAGGGTAAACCTGGAAAATTCCCATTCTGGCCAGATGGAGTTGTGGTGTCTGTGGGAGGGTGAGGTTGCAAAGCTGTTAAGGAACTTGGAAAAACTGGAGATGCTTGTGACCTTCAGGTAAAGAGATGACCTCTCCTTACCTAGCAGGGGTGGAGAGACTGGTCCTTAGAGCTGTAATTCAGCAGGCTCCAAGAAGGCCATCTCAAGTGTTTGTCCAGTAAAACACTTAGGCCTTATCATTTTGCTAAGCTTTTTCACTAATTCCAACTTACAGCCCCACGTTATCATGGCGGGGCAGAGTCCCTCTCAGAGCGGACTCTCTCATTTATTTCTCTAATGACACCATTTCAGGTCCTGTTACCATGCAGGAACCCACTTCCCAACTGCCATGTCCTGTAGGGAAGTGTAGGATATGGCTTCGGCCCTGCTCATCGCTCTGGTCTTTCTTCTCTTTCTGTGATGCTTACTTTGTTTTTGAGCCCAATTCTTTCTTTTTGGATTCTCTCTTTTTAAATCTATGGTTGCTATATGCAATGGGCAGAATTCATTATGTCATTTGAGCAGAAGTCTGATGTTCTGAAGTGGGCTTTCTATACTCCTATCTTAAAGCAGATGCATAAATGTCAGGGTACTTTAAAAATCTATCCCTGGATGAAGTAAGATTAGGAAGTGGTGTCCCTCATTGCTTTAACTGCATTATGCCACTCACAGTGAAAATCTGTGCTCTGCTTCAGAGCTGTGGAGGGCATTATTCTTTACATACTCCCTTTGAAAAAGATGAGGTTTCACGAGAGAAATCTCATGTCAGCGTGAGGAATAATTATGCTTCTCTTAGGGGACAAGAACACTGTGAATCATAACTGATGTCTCCCTTTTTCTACTGGTCTGAGGATGCTCACCGTCAAAACTGGTGGCCCACATGTACAAGAATAGGCAGCTTTTTTAGTGCTGATCTGTCTTCAACTTGTTTCCTGCCCTTATGTTAAAATATGACTCTCTCTCTATATATATTTTATTGCATTGTATGAATTTATGTAATTTATCTTAAAATCCTTTTTGCATGAAGGCCTAGTATCATCTAATCAAAACAGCTTCACCTTATTTTCCCAACTGTACTGGGTAGAGGCTGCGTGTGCTGGCACACTGACTCCCGGTATGGTGCTGGTTAATTAGCGTTACGGACATAGACACAGCCCCTTCCTCAATCTGCCTCCCACTACTCAAGGAAGGGAGGCCGGACTCTGGCTTAAACAGGCCAGGCAGCCACTGAGCCTACCCCTTGGTCCCCAACGTGTCACCAGCCCCAGCATCTCTCGTCTCCCTCCATCACCCCCTCCCATCCGAGCCCGCGCGGCCTCCCGTCGCTATCACCCCCGGATTCCCCTCGCGCGGCCTCCCGTCTCCCTCCAACACCGCCTTGGGGCGGCCTCTCCCAGGCGGCGCGGCCTCTTCCGGCCTCGGGAGGGCGGGCGGGGGCGGGGCCGGGGGCCGGTGGTGCGAGCGTCCCGGGCCCGCGCCCCGCCGCCGGCGGCCGGCCATGCTCATCACGCTGTGCTACCTGTACCTGTGGGCGCGCTGGGGGCGCCGGCCCGCCGCGCTCGTGCGCGCCACGGTGCAGCGGCTGCGCGCCTCGCGCTGCTCCTTCACCTTCTGCGGCGCGGCCGCGCTGCCCCGGGGCGCCCGCGTGTGCCTGAGCCGCGGCGGCCGCGTCTTCTGCGTCGGCGAGAGCCAGGTGGGCGGGCGCGGGGCGCGAGGCTGGGGGCGCGGCGGGGTCTCGGGCTGGGCGGGGCGGGACGGGGCGGGGCCGGCGGGGGCGCGGCCTCCCGGAGGGGTGCGAGCCGGAAGCGCCCGCCGGGACCCCGCGCTCCGCCCGGTGCTGTGCGGGCCGCGGGCGCGCGGTGCCCACGGGAGCCGGAGGAGGGGACCGGAGAGCGGCCGCCTCTCCATGTCGTGCCGGGGCGAGTGTGTAGCCGCGTGGCTCGTGGTATCGCGAACACGCGTGGACCTGTGTGCCTGGGCGATGGCGATTCGCACCTGCACGCCGGAGGAGCGCCCGCCCAGAGTCTCTCTCCTGACATCGTTGCCTCCACTGTGGGCTGGAGTTTGGTTGAATTCAGAGAAACTTAAATCCTCAGCTTTCTGTCACGTGTCTCCGGAGGAATAAAAACTGCCTTGTCCCCCTCTCCTCAGTTGGGACATTTACCACCCAGGGCACCCCACTGATTGTCGTTGCATCTTTTTTATTTCGGTTTGCGCACAGTCTTTGTTTTTTGGGCCAGTGCGAGGTCTGGTGTCTCAAGTTTAGCAGGCTCTGTCACCCATTGTGTGACTTGGGCCGTTCGTTTATCCTCTGCAAAACCTCTGCTCTTTTTCTGTAGAGGGAACGACAGTTCTTTCCATCAGGTACTGGAAATGGACCTGACTTCTCAGAGCAGTTTTGCGTGAATTTCCATTGCCATCACTCATATTGTTTTCATTGACATTTTAAGATTGACACCGGAGCTAACAACTGTTGCCAAACTTTTTTTTCCTTTTTTCTGCTTTTTCTCCCCAAATCCCCCCAGTACATGGTTGTATAGTTGTATATTTTACCTGTGGGTCCTTCAGGTTGTGGCATGCGGGACACCACCTCAGCGTGGCCTGACCAGCGGTGCCATGTCCACGCCCAGGAATCGAACCTGTGAAACCCTGGGCTGCTGAAGCATAGCGCGTGAACTTAAGCACTTGGCTCGGAGGCGGCCCTTGTTTTCATTAAGATTTTAAAGTGTTTGGCTTTCCATTGGTTTCCTGCCCTTTCCACTTCCTTCTGGAAAGTTGGCTTGCTTCTAGCATTAAAGTGAGATTTTTCTATGTGTGTAAAACTGTAACGCTGGTGTGGGAATTAAAATCTTGTCTCCTGTTTGAATATGTTGTTGAGGTTCTGCTCAGGCCTGGGATTATACTGTGCTGCTAGCAAATCAGAAATACCCTTCCTTGTTAGTATGCAATCACACACAGAAAGGGAGTAACTGTTTTCTCAGTTCTAAGAGAGTGTATCTCTAGTACTACCCAGAAGCTGGGGGAAGCTGTTCATTCATTACGTACAATGGAGCCTGGGGGGCAGGCGGCCTTAATTCTTTCCAGGAACGCTCATTGAGAAAGATAAGAAAATGAGGAAAAATGGAGTGGTGGATTTTTCCTTTGCAGTGGTTTCCAAACTGGATTCATTTCCTTAAAAACGTAGCCTCTCAGGTTTAGATTAGAGTAGAAATTTTGTATGTTCAAAAATATCCAGATGTAACTATCTTTAATTTTCTTGGAAGACAGTCTTACTTTTGAAGGCCCCCATGACTTGAGGGGTCTACTGTTGACTGCAGCTGATGCTTCGCTCCAGCCCGGTGCCTGCGGCCAAACCCGCCGTGGGCTCTTAGGGGTTCTGTAAGGTGCTGTGCACCAGCTCTTTGCACAGTTCACTGTACCTCACCCGAGATCTTTGCCCACACGTCACTGTCTCCCAGAGATTCTCCCGTGTTCTCCAGACTAGAGGGGACCACGTGCTCTGTGTCCTCATAGCCTTTAGATTACAGTTCGTATTTCCAGTTTTTTCCTTTTTCTCCATAGGAACTGGGTCTGTTGAGCTTAGCAGCTTGACCTGGAACAGTTGCTCAGCATTTCAGTGAGTGAAGGAGTGTTTGCTGGTTGTTGGATTTAAGCTCTGATGTTGAAGGCCTACAGCTGGAAAGCCTGACAGTTTATTTGTGATTAGCTGCTGCTATGTTAGAATTTAAAACATCATGGGGCTGCTGATTTGGGTTGGTTGGTACCTGGTTGTCAGTCTGCGTGGACTGAAGTAACGTTATAGACCTGAATCGCAGGCCTTTGTTGTCTGTATTTTATATAACTAAAATTGGATGCGGAAGTACTGAACGTGTATGTTTATATAATTGAAGGTCCCACAATAATTGATAAGTTTAACTAAAGATGGTTTATACAGACAGGAAATTTTAAACTTTTTGTTTAATATATGCTTTCTATGTTTAAGTGGACAGTCTGTTTTTTGTTTTTAACTACTGTGTTGATAATTATGTTTACCCGTGGAGAGGAGTTGTTTCTTCCCCCAATTTTCATTCATTCATTATTTCAACAGATGTTTATTAAGCATCTACCATGTGCCAGGTTATTAGGCCCGTTGAAAAGACCTTTTGATCTTCCCAGCAAGGGTGGGTTTGAACCGATCAGCAACACCGTGCAGCCTGACCCAAATGTCTTTTTTTGGTGGTGATGATAAGGTTTGGCCCCTGCAACCTTAGATTTCAGCTATTTCTGCTCTGAATGTGGCTTGGTTTTAGTGGGTTAAAGCCTTTTAAAATAACCACCATTTCAGGCCGGCCCCATGGCTGAGTGGTTAAGTTCGCACGCTCCACTTCAGTGGCCCAGGGTTTCCCTGGTTCGGATCCTGAGCATGGACATGGCACCGGCTCATTAGGCCATGCTGAGGCGGTATCCCACATGCCACAACTAGAAGGACCCACAACTAGGATATACAGTTATGTACCAGGGGGCTTTGGGGAGAAAAAGGAAAAATAAAATCTTAAAAAAAATAAAATAACCATCATTTTAGAGCGATTTCAGGAAGGAGAGCAGAGATAAAGGGACATAGCCAATCCACTAACCAATCTCGATGCTGTAATGACCAGAGGAAATGGAAGAACAGCTCCTCAGGCTTCTGTCCACCAGCATGGCCTTCTGAGCCCCTCATCTTTAAATGTGCTTCCGAGTTGTAGTTTGGAAAGCTCTTCCATGCTCCAAGCAGTAAGGAATGGGGAGGAGAAGCTCCGTTTCACAATTAATTGCTTGGTAACAAATATCTAGAGATGTTAAAACTGTCGTGAGTCATAGAGGGGATGTTGCGGCTGTTTGAATAGTCCCAGCTCAGTGAGAAACGCTGGGTTAACATGGTATCTGGGAGCGCATCCTGTCACCTGATTTAGATCGCACCTGGAATTACAGACGAGGGGCATCTGGATGTTGCTGTGAGTGACAGCTGTGGTTTGAAGTGGTACTGAATCCTTTTATTTTGTTTCTTTCCCTCTGTCCAGTCCATTGATGACTTGAACAAATGGGCCCTGTTTCTCGTTTCTCCATTTATCCTTGAAGCAGAACACGTAGCTTTTGTGACAGAGAGCATTTGGGTGCAAGGTGAGAATTTGCAGAGACCGTCCTCCTCTTCAGAAACCGTGAGTAACGTGTTTTTCACTTGTGTACCCTAAGGAAACTGGGTGTGTTAATCAAAACTAAATTTGTTTTTTGTGAGCGCTCTTTCCGGGCCTTTGTGACTCCATTTCTTTTTGGATATTTTGGGGTAAAAAAATATATTAGTAAAATTCCTTTCACCTGTTTCTTTTTACGTGCTTGAATATGGCTACTAGAAAATTTAAAACTACCCGTGGCTTGTGTTTATGGCTCACATTGTGCTCCCATCACTTCAGCTGCAGCGGAGGCTGAGAAACGTGGTCCATAGCTGGACAGCCGTAGGTTCAGTGAAAACCTGAGGTTCTTTTACTGTAAGGGAGAAAGACAGACTAGATATGGGGAGATAACGAACATCTCTGCCACAGTTAGCATCTCATTTAATTTGTGTTCTAAGGAAAATTTAATCAAGATCTTGCTTAATGGCAGTTACTTATTCTTAATTTCCTGGGGTGGAAAGATGCCGCCCTACCAAGGAAGATGGCTAGTATCCAGTTAACTCATTTTATTTATGATCAGAGAGTTTGGTGGGTCTTGTAACCAGGAGCAGGAGATGTCCCGAGCCGGTGTTTTGACCTCTCTGGCTATGACACCAAACTCCATTTTATAAGTTGGTCTTTAAACCTTAAAAAGGCATTGATCTCATAGCTCGCTGTCTTCTCTCTAAGTCTGCAGGTCCCGTTCAAGTTGATTGCTCAATGGGGTTTGCATTTTGTGGGGGCTCTTCTGAATCTATGTATGTATTTTTCACCTAACCCTAAAGTCATTTGAGTTTAACAGGATCCTAAGTTATTCAATGGAAAATACATACATAAGGAAGACTTTTGAACTTGACGAGATCTTATATTCTTTCACATTTTTAGGACTGTGGAACTCGTACAGATATTTTTATTTATTTATTTATTTATTTTAAAGATTTTATTTTTCCTTCTTCTCCCCAAAGCCCCCCCAGTACCTAGTTGTATATATCTTAGTTGTGAGTCCTTCTAGTTGTGGTATGTGGGACACCACCTTAGCATGGCCTGATGAGCATTGCTAGGTCCGTGCCCGGGATTCGAACTGGTGAAACCCTGGGCTGCTGAAGCCGAGTGTGCAAACTTTAACCACTCGGCCATGGGGCCAGCCCCTCGTACAGATATTTAAAATTATATCTTTTTGTATTTTGGGTATCTCAAATGGCTTTCATTTTTGATCATCATACAGTCCCCAACAAGAAGTAATCTTAGGAATCTTAGAAATTCAGTTTAAAAAAATGTAGCCTTCATGTATTCATATTTTCACTTAGTCATTCATTCGTTAACACATACTTATTGAATATCTGCTGTGTTCCAGTTATTTTGCTAGGTGCCATAATAAATGGCAGATTCAGCTCCATTTTCAGTATCTTCTGTAGTGATACTAGCAGTCCTGTTTAGTAAGAATTGATTACCCAAAGAATGTACACAATTCTTTCGTTGTGGAAAGCTCACTTATATTCCTTGTACTCTATCAAGGCATTTCATTCATCCAGGGTGTACTGAGTGCCTGTTACCTGCCAGATCATGTGCTAGGGCTGGAGGTGTGTATCATGGAGATGAAAGATGCGTTTAGAGGTGACGGTGCCTGTCATCTTAAGGAGCTTCTCTCCCACTGTGGTGTGGTAGTGAGCTCATCTAGAGGGGGAGAGGTTAGGAAGGACTTTCCAGGGGGAGGTAGTAATCTGAGTTTTAAAGGAGAGAGGAATTAGATGAAGGAGGAAGGGGCTTCCCCTGCAGAAGGCAGGTGTGGAAGCACACAGAGAGTTTGCACGTGGTTAGTACAATTAGAGTCTGCGTTAACGTGAGTTGGGGGTATGGCCCGACAGAAGGCCAGAGGGGAAAGATGGGGCTGGAGTATCGGGTGGGAAATGACCTTGATGCAGTGGTAGCTTTTAAGAACGGGAGCAGGCAGGCCGTCCCAGCGGCCACAGAAAAGAGCGCCTCGCAGACCAAGCGAAGATGCTCAAATCGTGCAGTTTATTAAATCAATTCAAAACACGCGGCAAGAAGCAAGCGGAGAGCTCTGCGCCAGGTGAATAGTTAGGATGGGGTCCCCATGGGATACACGGACCACGCACCTGAATCCCGGGCTATGCAGTGTTCTCCTGTCCCACCTCTCTGCTGTGTCAGCCCTCCTTGCTGAGGAGGTAGTTATGAGGACCAGAGTGGAGGTTAAATGGGTCTCAGCAGAGAGAAGGTGCCTGTGGCCAGCACACACTGGCTCTGTTGGAGAGACTTGAGACAAGTACGCCTGGAGGAGCTGTGGCTTCCCAGTGATCTGCTCAGAAGCTGTGCTTTTTTTTTTTTTTTTTTGAGGAAGATTAGCCCTGAGCTAACATCCACTGCCAATTCTCCTCTTTTTGCTGAGGAAGACTGGCCCTGAGCTAACATCCATGCCCATCTTCCTCTACTTTTTTATATGTGGGACGCCTACCACAGCATGGCTTGCCAAGTGATGCCAGGTCTGCACCTGGGATCTGAACCTGTAAACCCCGGGCCACCAAAGCGGAACGTATGTACTTAACTGCTGCACCACCAGGCCGGCCCCGAAGCTGTGCTTTTTATCTATGTTTCTAGGCAGAATATACATGGGGCCCTAACCGGTCGCTGACTTAGGGATGACGTAACTGTCAATCTGGAGGTGGCACAATTTGTGTCTGACTAATACTTAAGGTTTAATGGTCTATCCGTGACTTTCTGCCTAGGAGTAATACTCTCTTTTGTTCTGTCCTTTTTTTGTTCAACACATGTGTGTTCCGTTTATTTCATCTATCTTTAGCGTGTCTTAGAAATTGCTGACTTACTATATCTGATGAGTTTCATCCGTGCTGTTTTTCTTATTTCCTATGTAGCAGAATTGAATATTCTTTAATAGTATGACAAATACACATAGTACACAGATTGAAGAAGGTTTATATGCACTGATTAGGAATTTTGGTTTTATCCTGTGGACAGTAGGCCAAAACTTTTTTCTTTTTGGTGAGGAAGATTGGCCATGAGCTAACATCTGTTGCCAATCTTCCTCTTTTTGCTTAAGGAATATTGTCCCTGAGCTACCATCTGTACCAGTCTTCCTCTATTCTGTATGTGGGACACCGCCACAGCACAGCCTGATGAGCAGTGCATAGGTCCACACCCTGGGATCTGAACCTGCGAACCCTGGGACGCCAAAGCGGAGTGCATAAACTTAACCACTACGCCAGAAGGCCGGCCCACCTTTTTCTTTTTAAAGCTGAATGATCAGATTTGTGCTTTTGAAAGATCACAATCAAGCAAATTGGAGAATGGATTGGAGAGAAGCAAGCCTGGAACAGCTTGTATTCCATGTGGGGAAAGAGTGGCCTTGAAGAGTATTGGTGGCAGGAAGGGTGAGCTGGAGACAGATGTGTGAGCTTTTTGGGAGATGCCGAGGGGGTTCAGGTGGATGGTGGATCGTTGGTGGAGATGAGCATACAGCAGGAGGGGCTGGTGGAGGGGCTGGCGGGGGGGCCTCGGTGAGGAATGCAGTTTCGCTCTTCGTTTTAGTCGGCTCTGCTGAAATGACAGGCAACCTGAGCGTCTCAGTGGCTTCTAACAGCGGATCTATGTTTCTTGTTCCTGTTACACGTAGGCTCGTTAGGCTTGCTGCTGTTCTTTCAAGCTGTGACTCTGCTCTGGGCTCTGCTCTGTGCGTCCTTCCCCCCCGGGGACCCAGGCTGAAGGGGCCTGTCCATCTTGGGATGTGCCATTCTCACGCAGAGGGGAGGTGTAAGAGAGCCGGCAGAACCTCAGTGCAGTAGATTGATTTGTTTGTCCAGTAGGATGTGGCAGAAGTGACATCATTCTGGGACTTGTAAGAACTGAGACTTATAGATCCCAAGGAATCTTACAGCTTCTGCCTGAGCTCTTGGAACCCAGCTCCCATGTGGGGAAGCTCAAGTTGCCCTTGGCAAGGTGCACGTGAAGAAGAACCGAGGCGCTCGCTGGACAGTCCTAGCTGAGTTCTCAGCCAACAGGCAGCTCCAGCTTGCCAGCTGGGTGAGGGAAGCGTCTTGGAAGTGGATCTTGAGCCAGCCTAGCTGATTCCATGTGGAGCAGAGTTGAGCTGTCCCTGCCCAAATTGAGATTTGCGAGCAAAATAAGTGATTGGTTGTTTAAGCCACGACATTTGGGGGTGGCTTTTGCACCGCGATGGATAACCAGAGCACTTGAGATGTCAGTTGAAACTTCACCTTTCTGGGGGCCAGCCCAGTGGCGCAGCGGTTAAGTTTGCACGTTCCGCTTCGGTGGCCCAGGATCCACCGGTTCAGATCCCTGGTGCAGACCTATGGACTGCTCACCAAGCCATGTGGTGACAGGCGCCCCACATATAAAGTAGAGGAAGTTGGGCATGGATATTAGCTCAGGGCCAGTCTTTCTCAGCAAAAACAGGAGGATTGGCGGCAGATGTTAGCTCAGGGCTAATCTTCCTCAAAAACAGCAACAAAGGCAACAACAACAAAAACTTCAGCTTATCTTCTCAGTGTGCTGGGGATGTAAAGGGGCAGTGACAATTGTGGATGCTACTATAGGACACTTTCGACAGTGGGCCTCAGGTGCTTATGGGGCATCAAAAGAACACAAATAATATAAAAGGGTTTATGACAAGAAGGGTATTTTTTTTTTTATTGAGTTAATGATAGGTTATAATCTTGTGACATTTCAGTGGTACATAAATGTTTATCATTCGTGTTGCAGGTGTACCACTTCACCCTTTGTGCCCACCCCCCACCCCACCTTTCCCCTGGTATCCACTAAACTGTTCTTAGTCCATAATTTTAAATTCCTCATATGAGTGGAGTCATACACAGATTATCCTTCTCGCTGCCTTATTTCACTTAACATAATTCCTTCAAGGTCCATCCATGTTATTGCAAATGGAATGATTTTGTTCTGTTTTGCAGCTGAGTAGTATTCCATTGTATATATGTACCACATCTTCTTTATCCATTCGTCTGTTGCTGGGCACTTAGGTTGCTTCCATGTCTTGGCTATTGTAAATAATGCTGCAGTGAACATTGGGGTGCATAGGACTTTTGGGATTGCTGACTTCAAGCTCTTTGGATAAATACCCAGTAGTGGGATGGCTGGATCGTATGGTAGTTCTAGTTTTAATTTTTTGAGGACTCTCCATTACTGTTTTCCATAGTGGCTGCACCAGTTTACATTCCCACCAGCAGTGTATGAGGGTTCAAGAAGGGTATTTTTTATTATTTTCGGATTAACTCTCAGTTATTCAGAAAATTAAAATACCTAGACCACCCTTTTCCTTGAGCATCTGGTCAGTCACGGTTTTAAATTTCACCTGTGTGAGTTTATCGTTTCAGCTCTTGCTTGCTGTAGAATGTGTTGTCCTTTACACCGTCACTCTATTTTCCAATACCCTCTCTTAAAAGTGCCAGAAGGCATATTATCTTTTTAAGTAATCGAGGTTGGAAATGAGTTTTGTGGTGTTCCTCTATCCTCTCTCTTTCCAAACCCGAAAGACCATGAGCACAAGTGAACATCAAAAATAAGCTCCACCCTTTACTCTCGTGGGTTCACGTTGTTCGCATCTCTGTGCGTCTGGCCCTCCATCCAGTTCATTGCTAGAAGTTTAGAAAACCTAACGCGTAATTAAATTGATTTGGAAGAGGAGAACGAGGGCCAGAAAAATTAGCAACATCAGTCATCTGACTTGGTAACTGATTGTAACTTGTTTTAGTCTGGGTTCTCCAGAGAGACAGAACCAATAAGGTGTGTGCGTGTGTGTGTTTATACATATTCATATATATGTATATATATGCACTCATGCGTCGCTTAATGATGGGGATACGTTCTGAGAAATGCATCATTAGGCAATTTCATCATTGTGCGAACATCGTAGAGTGTACCCACACAAACCTAGATGGGCTAGCCTAGTACACACCTAGGCTATATGGTACTAATCTTATGGGACCACCATCATACATGCCATCTGTTCTTGACCGAAACATGAGTCACATCACTGCACAGAGAGAGAGAGAAAGAGAAATTTATTTTAAGGAATTGGCTCACACTACTGTGGAGGCGGGCAAGTCCAAAATCTGCAGGGCAGGCCAGGAGGCTGGACACCCAGGGAAGAATAGATGTTGTAGCTTGAGTCTGAAGGCAGTCTGGAGGGAGAATTCCCTTTTCCTCAGGGCGGGGGGGGACCTCAGAGTTTTTCTCACAAGGCCTTCAGCTGATTAGATGAGGCTCACCCACATTATGGAGGATAATTTGCTTTGCCCCAAGTTGACTGATTTAAATGTTAATCACATCTAAAAAATATCTTCATAGTCACATCTGGACTGAGGTTTGGCCAAATATCTGGGTACCACGGCGTAGCCGAATTGACATACAAGATGAACCATCGCTTGACTGGTGGTTGAGATTTCTGTTCCCCATTTGCTGCAGAGCTCCAGGGCACCACATGCTGCGGGCGGCATTGGCAAGGGCAGTCCACAGAGGAGCCACCCCCGCTGGTTTAACCTGTGCCTTTCGGTTGAGTGGAGCAGATCCATCACTGCCTGCTGTAATCAGTGCCATCTCAAGTGGAGAGCTGTGGTTGAGGAAGGGATTTCTGTGTGCTGCTTTTCGGAGGAAATCCCTTTGTTTAGGGCTGACCAGGGCTTCCTGAGCTTTGATCTTTGGGAGTATGCTTTTTGCTTGACTTCCCCTTTCTTTCTCGACCCCTTTGTTTCTATCTGGAAGTGCCAATTGGAAGTGCCCTGTTTGCTTTTAGCCCACAGATGGATGGCAAACAGCCCCGGATGAGTATCAGTGACCGTGCGGCTCTGCTTTGATCGGAGCACATGGCGCTGCTCCGAGGCATTTGCACGGTCTGTGGCTCGGGGACCACGTTCCTAGAAAGAGGAAAGGCGTGTAGGTGGGCAAACAGCAGGCGGAGAGGAGAAACTTGATCAGGGACGTGCGTATATTGTTCTCTGGCCGCTTCCTGCCCTTCGCCCTGCCTTGTTCACCTCCCATTCTCTCTCCGTCAGACGGACGTGAGAATTTAATTATTGGCTCCTTTTACACTAAGTGCTCATGGGAGGCATCCCTCCAGCAGGGTGCCACATCAACGTTGGAGCAGCCTAATTCTTGGCTGGGTCTCCACTGGCCGAGCTCCTCTCCTCATTCTTTGATGACCAGTGATAATGCTGAGAACAAAGATGCTTTTAGCTTCATGCAGGAGGCTGCGCTGGTCCTCATGTTTCCCACCCACCCTCCTCTGGCAAGTAAGCTCTTGCCAAGATGGTCCTCCTGAGCTGACATCCTTCCTCATTCCCAGAGCTAGAAATCAACAAAATATCTGTCTGAATTGTAAGCTTCAGCTCTCATCCTAGATCAAAGATACCATCTTTGAAATACGGAGTCCTACTGAAACTTTGGTCAGGCCCGACCCTCCAGGTGAATCCTCCTCTCCTTCTGGCTGTGTGTCTGGGAGGAGGTGGGAGAAAGGGTGATACAGTGCAGGAAAAAGTGGTTAAGTTCGCACATTCTGCTTTGGCAGCCTGGGGTTCGTGGGTTCGGATCTTGGGTGTGGGCCTACACACCACTCATCAAGCCATGCTGTGGCGGCGTCCCACATACAACATAGAGGAAGATTGGCACAGATGTTAGCTCAGTGACAATCATCTTCAAGCAAAAAGAGGAAGACTGGCAACAGATGTTAGCTTAGGGCCAATCTTCAAAAAAAAAGAAAAAAGAAAAAAAGGGACCACTGTATTTACTATTGCTTTTAAACCCAGATTCACAGTAGCTAATAATAGCAGCTTTCATGAATTGAGCACTTTTTCTGTCCCAAGCATTCTTCTGGGGGCATTACATATACTCTTTAATCTCAGTAACACAACAAACCTATAAGATGACCGGTATTAATATTATCCTTATTCCTGTTTTATGAATAAAGGACCTGAGACTTGAGAGGTTCCCAGACTTGCCTAGGGCCACACAGCAATGATTAGAGGAGCTTGACCCAGGCCCAGGTCCTGGGACTCCAGGCCCTTAACCCCAGGGGGCTGCCCTTCTGCTTGTCCCAGTTTCAGATTCTTCTTTTATGAGAACTGGAAGGCTTAAAGCCCTGAATTTGGTTTGCTCTCATTTTCCTTGTCCCCCTTGTGGTGGAAGTGGGAACTGCGAGCTCCCTGGGGAGTCTTGAGTTGTTCTCACATTTCAGGAATCGGTGGGGAAGTGTGTTTAAACTTGGTTCCCAGGCTGCAGTTCCAGAGGGTCTGGAGCGCCAGGTAGTGAGTGGCGCCCAGGAGCCCGAAGTTTTTGTGTGCTCCTGGGGAGTTCTGTTGCAGCTGGTCTTGGACCCCACTTTGAGAAAAGGCGGTCTGCAGGTTACGTTATCAGTCACTGGATACTGTGGACTTATTTTCTCCTAGTTCCTCTTCCTGAACTAAAGGGCAAGTTCAGTTTTTCTTGTGTCTGGGGAATGGCCCCTTCCCCTTTTAGTTCCTTGAAAAGTGGTTGTGACTTTAATTACTTTTTTTTTTTTTTTGAGGAAGATTAGCCCTGAGCTAACTGCTGCCAATCCTCCTCTTTTTGCTGAGGAAGACTGGCCCTGAGCTAGCATCCATGCCCATCTTCTTCTACTTTATACGTGGGACGCCTACCACAGCATGGCTTGCCAAGTGGTGCCACGTCTGCACCCGGGATCTGGACCGGCGAACCCAGGGCCACCGAAGCAGAACTTGCACACTTGACCACTGCGCCACCTGGCTGCCCCTTTTAATTCCTTTTAAATGGGAGGGTTGTATGTAGTGCTTGTAAGCCCTGTTAGATAGAAGTAAGAGTGTTTGAGCCAGAACAGCCTTGCTGTTAATAAAATGCAGCGCCCGGTAATTCGTCACGTTTGACTAGAATGTGGTGGGGGGGAGCTGAAGGGAAAAGTGAAGGAGGTGGTTATTTTAGAGAAGAAAAATCTCACCCTCTCCTTTTCTTCCTCCTCCCTCACCCGCTTCTTCTCAGCTTGTGAAGTGGTCAGACTGTTGTTTGCCGTTGGCCTGCAGACCTGGGGATCCGTATCAGTTAATTGCCGAAGCCAGTGTGGACGACTTCAGTAAGCTGGGGGTGGCGTTCCTGGAAGACAGGCTCCAGATGGCTAATGGACTGATCCCCCAAAAGATCGTGTGTAAGTAACTTTAGAAAATGTTTTCATCACAGCTGGATGACATAGGTTATTAGGTTAAGGATTGTTGAGTCCTCCTGTTTGGTATGACTGCAGAGCCTGCTTATTTTCGGTTCACTTCAGTCAACAGGTTGGCTATAACCATAACAGTATAAAATTCACACATATGTCAGGTTTTTGGAGATGCTTATTCCAGAGTATATAATTAGTGCTTTTTAAATTCTTAAACAAGGATTTGTCATAATTGCATTGTCTGTGAGATGGCATGCACATTTAGAACCCATGTAGTATTTATTTCACACAATCTAATACAGTATAACTAGTTTCTACACTGTAGTTTGATTGAATGCAAATCATAGCGAGCATTACTACAAAGTTCTAAATCTAATGGTTTTTTACTTAAAATATACATACCACAATATTTTGGGACACATCTTTTTTCAGGAAACATGCAAGATGTTCTTCCTTAATTAGGCTTAAAAGCAGACTTTCTATGTCCATGAAAGTGTTCATTTGTATCTCAAGCAAATGAGTGTCACCAGCTCTGGAAATTTGTGTAAATCGCTTAATTTCCCCATCTGCATGTGCATGTGCCTAATACCATGTCAGATGCGTGGCAATAAGTGTTTTTGGAATCAGTGGTTATAGATTATATTCCAGCCCTGAGATAAGGTACCGGGAAGCCCCTTCTCCCCGGTTGATCCTATGAAATGTCCCGAGAGTGAGTTTTTCCTGAGATGTGCTTGGATAGACTCTAGTTATGTGCTTTTTTTGTTTCTTAGTCTTAGTTTCATTATATGTAGGAGATTGACACCCAAGAAATTAAATCTATAAGTAGGTAAGCAAAATCACCTCTCTGAATCTCGTCTTCTTCACAGTCACTAAGGGGACCTGGAGTTTTCCGATTCTTATGGGAAAGGTGGTGTGGAAACTTGGGGTTTCACTAGGGACCGTCTGGGGTCCCCTCCTAGCAGGCAGGAGCAATTGTGTGGGTCTGAAGGATGCTGAGATTGAGGTGGGGATGTGGTGGGAGCCGTGCAGGTGGGCCGCCCTGGACCATACGTCATGGAGTGCAGAGAGTGCACTGAGTTTGTGAACTGAGCTGCGTGACAACGCAGAAGAGCTGACTTACTGTCTTTTCCGTTCATGCCCCAGCTGTGCACTTGCAGGACTCCGCTCTGAAGGAACTTAAGGATCAGGCCTCAAACAAACAAGCTGAAATCCTGCAGCCGAGCCCTGAGGCTTCTGTTGAGAATAAGCCTGAGCTGGACGTCATGGAGCACATTGGCCAAGAGGAGCTGAAGGTTCTCGGGCCAGAAGCCACGCAGCAGAAAGGAGGTGCCTCTGGGAGCGAGCCTGCCGGGGAGAGTGACAGAGGAGTGGGCTCTCTCGAGCTCTGTCACCTCCATCTGTCTAGTTGCCACGAGTGTTTGGAGCTTGAGAACAGCACCATTGAATCCGTCAAGTTTGCATCTGCAGAGAACATTCCGGATCTTCCCTATGATTACAGCGGCAGTTTGGAGAGTATTGCTGATGATGTCTGCCCTGAGAGAGAAGGGAGGAGAGTCAACATCACGGGAAAGGCCCCCAACATCCTCCTCTACGTGGGCTCTGACTCCCAGGAAGCCCTGGACAGGTTCCAGCAGGTCCGGTCCGTTCTGGCCGACTGTGTGGACACCGACAGTTACACCCTCTACCACCTGCCGGAGGAAAGTGCTCTCAGAGACCCATGGTCAGACAACTGTCTGTTGCTGGTCATTGCCACCAGGGAGTCTCTTCCCGAGGACCTGTCCCGGAAATTCATGGCCTATCTTTCTCAGGGAGGGAAGGTGTTGGGCCTGTCTTCATCCTTCACATTTGCTGGCTTCCAGGTGACAAGCAAGGGCGCCCTGCAGGAGACAGTCCAGAACCTGCTTTTCTCCAAGGTCGACCAGAGCCAGGTGAAGCTCAGCGTCCTGAGCAGCGGCTGTGTTTACGAGCACCCTGGGGAGTGGCTCAGCCTGGGCAAGCTCCAGGGCCACCTGGAGAACGAGGACAAAGACAGGCTGATTGTGCAAGTGCCTTTTGGAACATGTGGAGGAGAAGCTATCCTTTGCCAGGTACAGAGGTTGGCATCCATGATGTGATCTTGGTGTGTGTGTTTGACTGCGAATACGCTCTAGAAGGCTGTGCATTGAAAGGGCTGAGAGTCTGTGTGGGGTGGGGTACTTTTGACCTTTGGCTGGGAATTTTTGCAGATGGTGAGTCGAAGGTTGAGATCACGGCCTTCCTGTCGCGTGAATATCCTGTTTCACCAGAATAGTTGTGATGGAGGAATGAAGCACAAGGTGTTATGGCTAATTCAGGATTGCTGGTTAGCCAAGGATTAGTCAGAAAATTCCTTTTTGTTTTGATCTATACTGGTAATAGTCTGTCTACAATACATTGGTCCGCTCTCTTTCTTCAAAGCACACTCTGGTCAATATCGTCAAGACTTTATTTATTGAGTGCCTCAGGGTGGTGAACCACGATGTTAGGAACCACGATGTAGTTGATGTCCGAGATTTGCATGAATCCTCCCCAGCTTCTGGGGTATCAAGTGTTGCAAACACCTCCAGATCCTCAGTTCCTTTATGATCTGTCACTCGTAAAATCTAAGTGCCGAGAAAAATGTCAAATAAGGGAGTATTGAAGCAATTTAGATTTATGACATATTATTACATAGGTAAGAAAAAACTGGAAAGGGAGATGACAGGAAAATGCTGCTCTCTTCCCATCCTTGGGGGGGGCCTTTGGCTCATCTATTGATTTTTTCCCCCCACTTTTTTTTCCTTGTAGTTTTTTGTTTGTTTAAGCAAATGATAGCAGGATAGACTATTTCAGAATTTCTATCATTTATAGCAAATCTTTTAATGTCTGAGGGCAAAAGTTTATGTTATAGTTAGATGGACAAATCCTCCTTAGGGATTTGATGATGTAATGAGAAAACTAAGTAGATATAGGTATTTTGCCCAAAATAGTTCCCAGGATGAGTATACTAGATTGTGTTTTATTATAGGGATCTTTTTATTGAGTTGGGGAAGTCTTTGCTGTTTTTTGTTGTGTGCTTTCCTTTCCTATCCTATGGTAGGATTTTTCCACCCCTTCTAAAAGCTAAGTCTCTTGAGTTTTCTGACCAAATATTCTTCAAGGGGGTATCGATTTGTTTCTGTACTATTCTAAAGCCCACTCATTTGTTCTTAAGGTAATTCTCAGGCAAAGATGCATATAATGAAGAAATCTGGAGATCAGGACCGATGACCGCGTGCACCCCAAGCAGGTTTCATGTAGGCTGCAAACCACATGAATTCGTTTTTGGAGGCCTAATAAATACTCCTCTTATCTTTTTGTCTGCAAGTACGGTAACTATAGTAACTGTGCATTCTCCGAAAATCCACTTAAAAACCCGACTTCCTAGAGCCGTATTTCAGTTTCGAATGGTGAATTTTGCCACCCCTGTATACAGATTTGTTCTAGAAAATTGATTCGGCACGTTGCGATCCATTTCTGTGAGTTACACAGCAAATCTGCTTGTTGCACCATTTCAATTGACCCCATAACTGTCATAAAATTTGATACTGCGTGCATTGCCCTAGAAAAAAGGCAATATGATGCAGCTTCAAAAATCAGATTCAGAGGATTAGAGTGTCATTTTTGATTTTAAATGACTTCCAGTCTCTGTGACAGGGTCAGTGTTTTCCCCTCAGGCCTGTGTCTCTACAATACCTCGCCGCCGGGATCAACCAATAAATATTATCACAGGCTGGTTAGTTTCCTCTTTCCCTGTTCAATTTCATAGTCTTCCTCTTCGTAATAAATCGAGTCCTGATGTAACCCAGTAAGAGGAGATGAAGTCCTTCAATGGCAGACCACAGCTGCACGGTAGGTGGTGGTCTCAGGGCCAAGGGGCTGCCTATCGGTGCCTTGGCCATTTGTCAAAATAGAGAAAGAGGAAATTTTGGTATACTTGCTGTACTGCTCAGGTTTGCTGGGAAAATGTCAGGCTGTGGATTAATGCAGACTTTTGGTTATCAAATAGACCAGGAGTTTGGCATGAAGTTGTCCAAATAAAGTCTCTAAAATGGTTTTAAAGATATTTTGTTTTCTTATGTAGCTTAGCACATGGAAGAAGTCCTTCTGCTTCTGTAACAGAGTTTTTTTTTCTTTTTGAGGAAGATTAGCCCTGAGCTAACGTCTGCTGCCAGTCCTCCTCTTTTTGCTGAGGAAGAATGGCCCTGAGCTAACATCTGTGCCCATCTTCCTCTACTTTTTTTATATTTGGGACTCATGCCACAGCATGGCTTGATAATCAGTGCATAGGTCTGCGCCCAGGATCCGAACCAGCAAACCCTGGGCTGCTGAAGCAGAGTGCATGAACTTAACCGCTATGCCACCAGGCTGGCGCCTATAGCAGAGTTTCTTAACCACGCTACTGTGGACTTTTTGGGCCAGATTCCGTGGTGGGGTCGTCCTGTGCATTGCGTTGTAGGGTGTTAGCACTACCCACTAGATGCCAGTATCACCCCCCTTCCCCTGTTTGTGACTGGACACATTTTTAGTCCTGGCTTTTGGTCTAGTCAAAAAACCTTAATTTTAGAAGAAGCCAAGTTACAGAAATGGGCCCATCCCTATGGTGACAGCCTTACAGCCAGAGGACGAGACATTTGTCGGATACCACGGAGGACCAGGAGTGCAAATCCAGCACACACGCTCTGGCGTGTCCTTCTGTCCTTGAATCGAGGTGCAGAGCCAGAGGTGGCCTGTCTCCTCGCTTCTGCTGTGGCAGCACCTCATCTTGAAACCAACACAAGCACTCCTCACAATGTCAGTGGCTGTCCTCCCCCTCGCTTCCTGGAACTCTGGAGGCCTGCTCGTGGGGCAAGCGCTCCCTTCCTCCTCGGCATCGCTCGTGTGTGACGATGAGTGCAGCACAGCACCCTGCGTGTGCTTCTCGACTCTTCTGTGTCTTCACTCAGTCCAGGGAGGACATGGGCCATTCATCACACTTGCCCCCTTTGCCTTGGGCTCAGGCGGGGGTAGAACTATGCTCATTTTATTTCTGCCACCTGTCAGCGTTCATCTCCAGGCTAGCCATGTGCTCATGTGCGTTCAATGTGACCTGCTACTGTGCTGATTTCCGTAACAACACGGGCTTTGTCTTCTGCAGAGCAGAGGCACACCTTTAGGGTAAGAGCGTGCGGTAGAAGGATTTGGATACTGTAAAGTGTTTCCCTTTTCACCCTCCTCCCCTGTCCGGGCCTGCTTCGAGGGCAGACTCACCTCTTGCTCCTGGCGGACAGGCTCAGTCGTGGGAGCAGCAGCCTGCCTGCAGCTGTGGTGTGGGGACGCTGTTGGACAGTGCTCTACAAGCCTTTTCAGATTGGCCTCAACTTGCAACAGTGGCACCATTTTGGGCAGTGTTTTTGGCTTGGTTAAGTCTTGGGTGGAAACTGAGAGATTTTAAGTTGCCTGAAGGCTGGCGCCTTGCTTCTTATTTTCATAATGCTCATCTAACATCAGGTGGGGAGCTCTGCATACGACAGAAGCCCACAGCTGACCCCTGGCAAGAGCAAAATAAAACAAAACCAGCATGCCTAGATTGCTTTTCTGGGGACTCAAAATTCTGAGTCCTGGGCTCTAATGCACAGTTAAAATCTGGTCTCAAGGGAGCTAGAAGTTCTCGTACATTCCTTATACCAAGACACACACCACTGATAGGAAAGTTCTAGCTCAAGGGAACTTGAAGTTCCAGTATGTTCTTTCATGTCAAGACACAGACCGTTCAGTGATAAGTGGGGGCTGTTTTGATTTTAGCTGGATAACAAAGCCTGAACTAAATACATGATGTTCCATATCTTAACATTCAGTCAGGCGAAGGAGGATGGTGGGGTAGGTCTCTCTGGGGTCCCCCCAAACCCCTCTCATCTGAATTCCTGCAAACACAGCAAACGATGACTGGGGTTCCTCTGCTCCCCAGCAGTTATGACTAATTGGGGGAGGAGTTCGAGCACGACCCTCTGTGCCTGCCCCGGTTCAGGAGCGACTTTAGTTGGTTCTCAGCACAACCGTATTTATAAATGTTTTGGTTGTATATTCAAGTTAAGTGACTTGCCCAAGGTCCGGCGACTGGTTAGCGATAAAAACTGGGACCTGGAAAGAGTTTGATTGCTATCCGGCATCGTTTCGACCACGGCCCCTCTGCCTGACAGCCACGATTCTAGTCTTCTCCTTTGAAGCTTCTTACTGCTTGTCATATGCTGTTGATACTTAGAAGGATTCATTTTTTTTCAGAAAAACTGGTAAAGATGCTGGTTCTCTTTTTTCTTTTTTGGTGAGGAAGATTGGCCCTGAATTAACATCTGTTACCAGTCTTCCTCTTTTTTTTTTTGTCCTTCCCCAAAGCCCCGTTACACAGTTGTGTATTCTAGTTGTAGGTCAGTCTAGTTCTTCTGTTTGGGCTGCCGTCTCAGCATGGCTTGATGAGCGGTACTCTGTCTGCGCCCAGGATTCGAATCAGCTAACCCCAGGCTGCTGAAGGGAGCAGGCAAACTTAACCACTCGGCCATGGGGCCAGCACCAACTGTTTTTCTTAATGTCGCTAAATGCCCCCGTTTATCCAGTGGTGTCTTTTTCCCTCAGGTGCACTTAGAACTACCTCCCAGCTCTTCAGTGGTGCGGACTCCGGAAGATTTTGATCTGCTCAAATCGAGCAATGTGAGAAGATACGAAGTGTTGAAGGAGATCCTGACAACCCTGGGCCTCAGCTGTGACGTTCAGCAAGTTCCTGCCTTAACGCCTCTCTACTTACTGTCGGCGGCCGAGGTGAGTGGGCGCGCTCAGTGGGGCGGGAGGGGAGCGCCTCTGATGCCCTTCTTCGGAGCTGACCCTTTTCCTCAGTCCTTCCATTGCAGTGGGTTTCGATTTTGATTTCCAGTTCAAAGGTGTCCAAGTATAACTAATTTTTTTGGTGTTTGTGTGTAAGGGAGGGAGAGAAGACTTGGAGTTTGAAGGTGTTAAGGTTACGGTTTTTTCCACCTAAAGGGGAAAGGTTATTGCTTTACGTGTCAGGAGCGTAGTTGGAAACCACAGTTTATTCATTTGGGATTAAAAACCTTTGTTTTGATTTGGGCCTCTCTCTTGGCGAATCTTCGGAAGGGAAAACCACGGGTTTCGCTTTGTTTGTGCTCATGTCTGCCATCTGGTGGCAGAGGGGCTCTGGAGCTCCGTTTGCATCTTTTAGCTGTATCCAGAAGGGAAAAGCTCAGGGAGGTGGGAGTGTATTCAGGAGGTTTCCCGGCCCTGTTTCTGCATTTGATGCCTGTGGTTGATACCTGCTTTGGGCAGGTTGCCGGATTCTCCAGGGGCGATTATCGCCGATCCCTTCTCTTTGCCCAGCTATCAGTTTCTTATTAATTGTGGCCAATTATTTCGTGGGTCTATTTCTGTGGTCTCCCCTAAATAGGGAAATTTGTGAGTTTAAGGATGTAACCGAGCAGTTTCAGCAAATACCTAATAGTCCATGTGACTCTGAACACCAGACTTACCTGCTTTCCCTTGAAAAGAACAAATGATACCTCCTACCCCAGCATTTTTTTTTTTGAGGAAGATTAGCCCTGAGCTAACATCTGCTGCCAATCCTCCTCTTTTTGCTGAGGAAGACTGGCCCTGAGCTCACATCCATGCCCATCTTCCTCTATTTTATATGTGGGACGCCTACCACAGCATGCGTGCCAAGTGGTGCCATGTCCGTACCTGGGATTCGAACCGGTGAACCCTGGGCTGCCGAAGCAGAATGTGCGCACTTAACCACTGCACCACCAGACAGCCCCATACCCCAGCATTTTTTTTTTTTAAGATTTTATTCTTTTCCTTTTTCTCCCCAAAGCCCCCCAGTACATAGTTGTATATTCTTCGTTGTGGGTCCTTCTAGTTGTGGCATGTGGGACACTGCCTCAGCGTGGTTTGATGAGCGGTGCCGTGTCTGCACCCAGGATTCAAACTGACAAAGCACTGGGCCGCCTGCAGCAGAGCGTGTGAACTTAACCACTCGGTCGCGGGGCCAGCCCCCCATACCCCAACATTTTTAAAAGAGGAGGAGTTCTCTTTTGGGTTGTACCTTGTCCCTTAGTAAACTTACTTTTCAGAGGAGAGCGAGCTGTGAGCTCTCTGGGTGAGATGTGCTCACTTGGAGGAGAGAGATATAAAACCTGAGAGCATATAGGATTAGGGTACCTTATAGGATTATTTGCAGACTAGATGAAATAATAGACGTGAGAGTTCTGTGTAAATTGTATTATTTATTTCTAAGATAGTGCTATGATTACTTTTATTATTATTACTCTTATTATTATTAGATGGCTGAGAGTTTGAATAAGTTGTAGGTGTAAACTATGCCTGACAAATGCCTGGTGTCTAAAAAGAGTGCAGGAAATATTTTTAATTTTAAAAGTTAATAATATTGCAATGGATGATTTTTTTTTTTATTTAAGAAACATTCTCTTGTTGTGTTTTCATTGCCCCGTTTTTGGCCAATTTGCACTCTCTTTCTTGGGTGCTCTTGGGAGTTAGCGATGTGACTTTTTTTGTACCTTCCTTGCAGGAACTCAGAGCTGCACGTCATTTATGTCTGATTTGCGTGTTCGGTTAACAGAAGGACAAGCATCAGTTGTGTCTTGGGGCTTATGAAAATGTATCAAAACAGGCTGGTCCTCAGAGCTTCCACTCCCGTAGGTGACCCACCTCCAGACCTCCCGCCTTGGAGGGGTGGGCCGAGCCATGTGGGTGAGGGTTTCTGGCCCCCAGGGACATGTGACTGTCACTCTCCTGGACCTGCTCTCTCCTTCCTGTCCTGAGCGAGGAGGGCTGCGGCCGGACATGTGAGGAGGTGCCTGCCTGCCTGCCCCGAGGTCAGGGAGCGAGAGGGACCCGGGCTTACCCTGGGCAGTGCCCGCTGACCTTTCCCGGGAACTCTTCTGACCATGCTGGTCTTGGGACTCACACCTCTTGACTCTTGGACGTAGCAGTGGAGAGGGAAGAGGATCCCAGGTTCCTCTCCTGTGAGCAGAGGTCTGAACTCTGGGCTCTTCCCGTGCTGCTTTAGGACGGGCGTGACCTGAAATACCTGAGTAGAGCCTTTGTGTTGCGTGTCTGTTTATATTAACATACACAGTGGATGCTTCGTATTTTTTTTTTTTGAAAGATTTTTATTTTGTTTTCCTTTTTCTCCCCAAAGCCCCCCAGTGCATAGTTGTATATTCTTCATTGTGGGTCCTTCTAGTTGTGGCATGTGGGACGCTGCCTCAGCGTGGTTTGATGAGCAGTGGCATGTCAGCGCCCAGGATTCGAACCAATGAAACACTGGGCCGCCTGCAGCGGAGTGCGCGAACTTAACCACTCGGCCACGGGGCCAGCCCCGGATGCTTCTTATTTTTGTCCTTTGGTTCCTTAAACTGCCTGGAGGTGGGGGGCATATGTTTTCCCCATTGATTGGCACCCCCATTCACAAACCATGGGAATGAAACGCTTGAACAAGATTAAGGCAAATATTTGTTCTATATGCACATAAACAAACACTCCACATGGACTCTAAGCCTTGTGGTCCCTTATGACATAAGAAGTTCAGAAAAGAGTGCTCACTTCAGAAATGCTCACTTCTCATTTTGGGTCCTCCATTTGGTCTGCTTGATCTTGGGTGTCTATACTGTGGATGACATTTTCCTCCCAGCTCTTTCTGTCCTGGATTTCCTTTTACTTTGGGAGCCCAAGGAACTGAGTGAGTGAGTGTATGATTGTTGTGTGGATGCTCATTTCTTATTTTTTTTTTAGATTTTTATTTTTTATTTTATTTTTCCTTTTTCTCTCCAAAGCCCCTGGTACATAGTTTGTATATTTTTAGTTGTGGTTCCTTCTAGTTGTGGCATGTGGGATGCTGCCTCATAGTGGCCTGACGAGCGGTGCCATGTCCATGCCCAGGATTGGAACGGGTGACACTCTGGGCCGCCAAAGCGGAGTGCCTGAACTTAACCACTCGGCCACGGGGCCGGTCCCTGGATGCTCATTTCCTAGTGTTGATTAACTCCTTTTAGAAGACCTTGAATCTGCTATAGAAGGAAATGTAAGAATTCAGGGTTTCAGAGTAAGTTTTCCTGGAACACAGATTCTCTGAAGGATTAGCGTGCGAATGAATGTGAAGGTTGCTGTTCACTGACTGTGATGTTCTTTCTGGAGGCAGCTGGGTGATTCCTCCTGCTCTTCTGATGCTGAGGCCGAGACATTTTGGAACACCTTTTAGCCGTTGTGCTGGGGGCTCAATTTATTTAGATGACAGATTGGGAATAGAATTGGGTCGTACTTTCGATTTGACTTTCTTTCCTGCAGCCTTCTTAATAGATCTCATTGATCCTCGTGGAAGTAAGTCACTTGGAGAGGATCTTGGCATCCTAGCATCCATCATCTGTTATGTGCGTTCCATCATCCTTAGGTTCATCACCTGCGTTAGGAATTAGATGCCTGGGCTGGCTCTCTGCTTCCTGCTCTGTGCTGTTGGGAATCAAAGATCTCACCACACGGTGTCGCTGCTGAGCTAGGCTTCCTGAAGGACAGACGCCCTGGAACCACAAAGCAGTTTTCAGAGATTTAATTTTTTCTCTCTCCATCAGTTTCACATAGTATAATTTAGGAGTTTTCCATTATGTTGGTGGCACTTTCTTTTGGGCCTGTAGAAATTATTTCACTGTCACGGTTAATAATATTCATCTTTCATTAAACATTTACTGTGTACTAGGTACTGTTATAGGATGGAACATGAAAGCACAAAATAAACACACTAGTTATCTAAATAGTTCTACAGCGGACCAGCTGTGTTTATACGGTTTGGTGCCTAGACACTCGCTCTTTATGGCAAATAGCACAGAAGATTTACAAGGCACCCGTGTGCTGCCATGTTACTGCGATATAAAGGGAAAAGAATAGTATGGTGATCCAAGTAGGGAAAAAAGGCTAATGCAGAGTGCAGTCGACCCTTGGCGTTTGCTGGGGATATGTTCTGAGACCTTCAGCGATACCCAGACACCACAGTAGCTTGTGATTTCCGCTGTGAAATCCAGTCACGTATGACTTCATGAGCATCTCCATGCGTGACACCACAAGGAAGCAACGTTCTGTGGAGGTGCACACTCTGGGTGCTGAGTTGGACGTCTTCTCTCACCAGAGGGTCTTCCCATTTAATCAAACCGCCCAGGGGCAGGATTAAAACTCGGGCCTCTGCAAAATTACGCTAAGTTAAAGCAAACCAGAAAACACAAGAGCACACATATGTCACAGGCATATGCCCATAGAGAAAAGACTGGAAAGAAATACAGTATATATAGGATATATTTCTGGGTGATGGGCGTAAGGATGATTTTTGTTGTTGTTGAGGAAGATTAGCCCTGAACTAACATCTGCCGCCAAACCTCTTCTTTTTTGCTGAGGAAGACTGGCCCTGAGCTAACATCTGTGCCCACCTTCCTCTGCTTTATATGTGGGATACCTGCCACAGCATGGCTTGACAATCGGTGTGTAGGTCCACACCCAGGATCTGAACAGGCGAACCCTGGGCCGCCACAGTGGAACGTCTGAACTTAACTGCTGTGCCACTGGGTCGGGCCCAAGGATGATTTTTAAAAATCGCTTTTAAAACTTTCTTTGTATTTTCCAAATTTTCTATAATGCACGTATTATTTTTAATAATAAGCAAAGCCAGTTATTAAAAATTAAAAAAACAAATTACTGTATGTCATTGGACTTTGAAGGCATTCTATAAATGGTCAAAACTTGAATGT